TAATACATATCGAACTGAAAAGAGAAAGTAAACTGCAACAGCTCGCAAGAGTAACTGCCTCTAGAAAACAAAATGTGCCTATAATTTTCACTTTCCCGCAATTCCAAGAAAATTGCAATTCGCAGATTAGTGCAGGTTGCCACAAATGAACTAAAATCGCTTAAATTTTTTTGTAGTTGTAGTAGTAATTACAGTAGTAGTTTAGTGGTTGATAGTAACTGAGTTAAAACTGGCTTTATAAGTTTTGATGTACTGTGACAGGCAATTCTCAATTGGTTCAGTGGCAATTTGGCGGAAAATTACAATTAGGCTGATTTACATTTTATCAGAAAAATTCATATAGAAATAAATCTGATTTTTCTGGCTGTAACCCACTAAGTTTTTGTGATCCACGTATCAGTCACTTGTGCATTTAATTATATATTAAAGAGTGTGAGATTCTTTACGTGATGGTCGTGTTCACTGTGGGCAAATGCCCAAAAGATCTTATCAATCTGATAACGAATCGTCGCAAATAACCTTTCGATCTAAAAACCAGTGATCCTCAAGGCGAAAAATAGAAGATAGAAAGCTTCATTAAGCTGACTGCTAAGCTAGCTCGCCGCTGAGTGATACGATACAGCATAGTATCTTATTCGGATTGGTTTCCTTTTTTAAACCAGTTGGCATGGCTGCTTGCTGAAATGGCCTACTCATTAGGTTCTTCAACGATACTGCATATTACAAGATCTAAGCCCCCAGGGGAAACTTAATTAGTAAGTTTCGTACTACAACTCTCGTTCACTAACGTTTGTTCGTGTTTGCCACCTGATCATTAAAGAGGACATCTCACTCGGAAAGAGTCCCTATCTGAGTAGTTAACTTAATAATTGTTGTTATAATGGCTTATGGTCTGAAACAAAGCTTTAACTTTAGATATGATAATGTAAATATATAATTTAGCTTCTGCTTTCAGTTAATTGGCGATTTATACCTTACGCCGATTTTTTTCTCAGATACGTACGCGCGCGCACAGAATTTGTCAAAGCAAATGGTAGCATCAACCAGACGGTTACCTCAGACAAGGTGGACGCGTGTTTCACATGCTTTGGCGTAATCACACTGAAATACTATGCAGTACACATTCTTCGCAGGTTCATGACTTACTGTTCGTTGCTCAACTCGTTGCACTGAAGTACGGTTGGGTGAATTCCTTACTCAAAAAATTTGCAGTGGTGGGATCAGAATCCGCCACTACCGAATTTGGAAGGAAAGTTCTTACCAACTGCACCACCGCTCAAAATGACTGTTGTTTTGCGCTTGCCTGACGAATTTGGCTAGGATAGTTTTCATTCCGGCAATATTGAATGCAGTAACATAGCCACTGAATGCAGGCCGTAAATTGTGATGAAGGAAAGCCGATATGATGCTGTAGTCTGCAAGAGTCGACTTACTCACAGCTGAACATCTCCAGATATGACGAATTCTTGTATCTAGACTACCTGTTTTGTAATGGTTTACAGAAGTCATGAATAAAAGATGTGATAATTCGCAGCCTGAAAAGCAATCGCTTTAATCATAGCGCATGCACCCGATCAGTGGCGCAGTTGGTGCAGGTTGCTTTACACGATAGAATAGGGTTCAGATGCTGCGGGAGGCGTGGATTTTCTCTTAACTCCAAATTCCGTTGAACAAGAGATTCTTCCCATTGTGCTTCGTCCAGCCACTCGAAAATGCGTTTGGAGGGATTACGTTAGCCTATGAATAACGTGAAGAACATTCTTTGATGTAGTCGTGCCAAAACATACAATCTACCCGGTCATGTCGTCTCATGCTGCGTTTCACGGATGCAGTTAGCCTTAAACCACCTGATCAGAGACTAATAATGAGCGCAGGGTGTAAAAGTAAATTTAAATAATTTATGAAGATGCCATGATCTTCCTTTATGGAAGAATTCGATTTTGCACTTTGGTTCAGAACAGTTTCGCTGTGGAGTCACCAGCCATTTCTTTCTGACACGAAAGAGTATTAACTCTTTTATCTATTACGTTTGCAGAGCCCAGATGTTCAAAATGTCGTACGCTCCGTTGGGACCCCAACTGAAAATTTTTAATTGCAGTAGCAATGTAAGTCGATTGTGCCACTGGTCATTATTATAACTGTACGATATAGGTAAGGTATCGAAATTGTCATATCAGTCAGTGAAACAACGTTATTTCTATTGCCAAGTTCATCAATACTGATGGAGAATAATCTGAGAAGTAGTGGGAGCCACCTGTTGTTACGTTATATTCTAGTGGATGATCCTCAGTGTTGCGTAGTTACTTGATATCTTGAATATCGTAAGCATTTGATATTGCACGCAGTTTCTGGTAAGGATGGTTTTGAAGAAATCTTGGTTCGAGTGTCGAACTAGAGGCTCTTAAGATCTTGTGTAAATGTTATGAAAGAGGAGGGCAACGATTAAACCCAAATCAGATGACTCACTTACTTGAACGCGAAACACTGTCCTGCTTTGGATATCAGTCAGTGAACCTGCCTGACTCGCGCATGAGTGGAACTTGTTCTTGGAAATTGAAAACAGGGAAAATAATATCTTGAACAGTGAAGGCTTCTCTTTATCTTGAAAATGATAAAGGCTTCTCTTTCCTTGAAGATTAGTTGTCTACAAAGATGTAGATCCTGAACTAATGCGTTATATAGCGTTGGAAGTTAGATAGTGGTGGTAGAATCGCATGGAGTTGACGTGTGGATAAATCTATACCGTTAAATGTTTTGGGTGTTTTCCATTTTAATGTCGATTCATATTCAACTCGATTTAAGCAAGAGCTCACCACTTTCTGAATTTCTTTTCGTTTGCTTTGTTTCTAGATACAACGTATTATTCATTTCAGTTACATATAGCATTTTAGCCATTTTATAATGGTAAAGCTCATTGTGTCAGGGCAGACGTGTTTCGTCCGGACGACAAAATTCCGGTCTTGACGGTGAAAGGTCAGTGGAACGACGTTTTACTCGCCAAATCTTCTCAAGGGGTACATTATTTAACTGCATTTATGTTCGTTACAGCATAAATTTGCTTTGTAGGAAAGCGTTTTTCTTGATGTGCACAAACTGACTCCCATGAAGAAAATATGCAAGGCGATTGCCGAGCAGAAAAACAACGAATCTCGCAAGTTTGTAGCAGTAATATGTTTCTCTCGTGTCATAGCAGGCAATCGTGTATTAAGTCTAATTTTTTTCACCCAATGAAACGTAAATGTGTAATTTAATACTGTAACTTGATCACTTGCTATTATTTTGGAACTTTACTGACTTTGCTAATTGACGAAGTAATTTCATGTTTGTAAATCATACGACCAGTCAGTTGTGAAGTAGTTTCCTTCTTTAGTGTGATAAATATTTTGATAATAATGATACACTGTTCTGATATTTTCGTGAAGGAAGAGCAAGGAAGTTTGCAACAGGCAGATTAACTCGAAATTTCATATATTTGCCTCAAGCTTCGCTAACCGTTGCGGAACCATACCATGGACCCCTCAGAAATTAAGATTTCCTGTTGGACTGTTGTAATGTAATTTGATGTCCGAAACTTATCTAGAATGTGATTGTTGGGTAACTGGCGTTTATTCCAAAGATTCATTAGACGTGTCGGTATTTTCGGTATTCTTTTGCTGATTATATATCTTGGTTAATGATAGACTTTATTTAGTTTTTGTCTCTTCGTTTCGTGACTTTTTCATTCTGACAGCAGAATGAACCGTCAGGTCAATATGTTTTATTAAGATTGCGTGTTGTAAAATACAATAATATAGTTGGTGAAAATATGGTTGTGGAAATAGAAACAGATATAATTATTTATCTAATCATTTGATAATACGAACATCGTTACAGTGTAGCGGAAAGGAGTATGTAGCTTCAAATGTCATGTCAGTAGTGGAGATGATATGAATTGATATGCTGAGAGATTTTGTTCTAAGGATGACTGCTGAGTGACTGAAACATTGTCAGCGGAATAATAACAAAGTTTATTGCATCGGTCATTGCCTTGTGTCCGTATTTTTGAATCGGAAGATTGGAAAT